ATTTGATACTATTTCTATCAATATGTGATTCTTGACCTGCCATTGTGTATCTGTTCCTCTCAAACCCAGCCGGTCGAATCAGATGACCGCTTGTCCTGAGGCTGGTTCTGCTAAAGGTTCCTCACGAGGGAGTTCTTCCTTTCCACTGTCACCTTCATGCTTGCTCAAGATCAGAGTTCTGTGATGGAGTTAAACTCAAAGCAGTCTGCTCCTCAGATAAATAATGTTATTAACTTGCTTTTTATATGTATAGTTATATGAATGTTTCTGTTCAGTGCCCTGGAGACGACTTCCGTTGTGACTTGGTGCGTTATAAATTAACTGAATTGAAACTGAATTGAATTTTGTGTAGGAGATGATAAGGTAAATGATTTTTCACTTCTAATTTTGAAAAATCTAATTTGAGATCAAACAAAAACAGTCCAACAACGCTGGAGTGAGTGATCTTTGAATGTGGGGTGGATTCGAGAGAAAACAACGAGTCGTATGAATCAAACTGTGTGAAAGAAAGATAAAAATGTCTACAGCATGGTGTATAATTTGTATTTGTACCAACAACACTTGTTGGAGTTAGAAAAGCTTGTCTGCAAAAGATTTGAACGCTTTAGACAACTCAGAAGTTAGTGTGACATTAAAGGTCAGTTAAACATTTTTATGGAAACATTTCTATAACAAATATGAAACCAATTCTGTTAGTGGAGGCAAATGACAGCTCAAGCATATAAACTTAAATAAATCTTTCTAATTAAAACATTTTAGTTCAAATTAAAATTGTGTTTCTACTGAAGCTAGAGCTCGGAGAGCTAATTTTATCAGTGTTTTCCCAAATTCTTGTTAATCTGCCATCATTATTTCTCACATTTTATTGTCCTAGCTCTGTTTTGTGCAAGCTCTACAGATGCTATCACTGACCTTTCTGCTGAGTAAACCCAAAGTTGAATAAGGGTTAAAAAATACTAAATGAGGGTAATGCAATTTTTTGAAGTATGCTCTCAGATAAAGTTCAGCTTAAAGCCTATTGTAGCTCAGTGTTTTAATTAAATTTATTTATATAGCGCCAAGTCACAACAGAAGTCATCTCAGTGCACTGAACAGAAACATTTATATATATAGAAAACATAAATTAACACTATTTATCTGAGGAGCAGACTGCTTTAAGTTTAACTTCATCGCAGACTCTCGTCTTGAGCAAGCATGAAGGCAACTGGAGAGGAAAAACTCCCTCATGAGGAAGAAACATTTAGCAGAACCAGGCTGTTGCGTGTCTGGAGGACTGTCTCTGTGTGTTTTTTCTCTAGTTTTTTCCTTAGTTGCAGAAAATTTGGAGATTTGAACTCTGATTGGGTGGAGAGTTGGAAAGGACAAATCAGGACTCAGGACTGCCCTATAAAGGAAGCTCTCCTATGCTGTTTCCCCCCTCCTTGTTGATGACTGTTCGGCACACCTGTGTTGCTGTTCTGGAGCAGTGCTCTTTGTATAAGGTTTGTGGTGGGATTTCGGTAAGTTTGGGGTGCACAGTACACTTCCACACTTAGGTAAAGTTGTGTTAAATACAGTAGGTAAGTACCGTACATTGGTGCCACCTTTGTAATTTTTGTGAGATCTTTATTTAGATAGCAAATTCAGGATATTTCTCATTTCATTGTTTTACATCTAGGTAGGTGTTCGTTAGGTCCTGTTTTGTTTGGTTCTTTGATTTGGCACTAACCTAACTGTCCCTTTCTCCCCCACAGCTTTTTGCAAAATTTAAAGACCTTTTTGAAGAAGAACATTTAATAAACCTTTCCTTCACTTTTATAAGGACTCCATCAACTTACTGTGGTTGACATGTTCATACCCCCCATCCAAAAAAAAAGGAGGGGGAGTAACAATTGGGGGCTCGTCTGGGATCATTTTTTGAGCTACAGACAACCACAGTAGTTGATGGGTTTTGTGACTGTGTTTGAAGATCAGTTTTGACTTCCAGGATATTGTTTGTGAACCTAGATATGAGAAGGTGGAGCTATGTTGTAAGGAAGACTTGCTTTGTATTGCTGAACATTTTTACATTCCTATGAAGAGGCAGGATGTTAAGAAAGTAATTAAGGATACAGTCTTGCAGAAATTAGTTGAGCTAAAGGTCCTTGGGGAAATAAATATGACTGGTCTACAAACCGGATTCCAAAACAGTTGAGACACTAAACAAATTGTGAATAAAAACTGAATGCAATGATGTGGAGGTGCCAACATCTAATATTTTATTCAGAATAGAACGCAAATCACAGATCAAAAGTTTAAACTGAGAGAATGTATCATTTTAAGGGAAAAATCTGTTGTTTCCAAATTTCATGGCGTCAACAAATCCCAAAAAAGTTGGGACAAGTCCATTTTTACCGCTGTGTGGCATCCCCCCTTCTTCTTACAACACTCAACAGACGTCTGGGGACAGAGGAGACCAGTTTCTCAAGTTTAGAAATAGGAATGCTCTCCCATTCATGTCTAATACAGGCCTCTAACTGTTCAATCGTCTTGGGCCTTCTTTGTCGCACCTTCCTCTTTATGATGCGCCAAATGTTCTCTATAGGTGAAAGATCTGGACTGCAGGCTGGCCATTTCAGTACCCGGATCCTTCTCCTACGTAGCCATGATGTTGTGATTGATGCAGAATGTGGTCTGGCATTATTGTGTTGAAAAATGCAGGGTCTTCCCTGAAAGAGATGACGTCTAGATGGGAGCATATGTTGTTCTAGAACCTGAACATAGTTCTCTGCATTAATGGTGCCTTTCCAGACATGCAAGCTGCCCATGCCACAAGCGCTCATGCAACCCCATACCATCAGTGATGCAGGCTTCTGAACGGAGCGTTGATAACAATTTGGGCTATCCTTGTCCTCTCTGGTCCGGATGACATGGCGTCCCAGTGTTCCATAAAGAACTTCAAATCGTGACTCATCTGACCACAGAACAGTCTTCCATTTTGCCACACTCCATTTTAAATGACCCCTGGCCCAGTGCAAACGTCTGAGCTTGTGGAGCTTGCTTAGAAATGGCTTCCTCTTTGCACTGTAGAGTTTCAGCTGGCAACGGCGGATGGCAAGGTGGATGGTGTTCACTGACAATGCTTTCTGGAAGTATTCCTGAGCCCATTCTGTTATTTCCTTGACAGTGGCATTCCTGTTTGAGGTGCAGTGACGTTTAAGGGCCCGAAGATCACGAGCATCCAGTAGAGTTTTACGGCCTTGACCCTTACGCACAGCGATTGTTCCAGATTCTCTGAATCTTTTGATGATGTTATGCATGGCTGATGATGATAACTTAAAAGTCTTTGCTATTTTAAGCTGGGTAACACCATTCTGGTATTGCTGCACTATCTTTCTGTGCAACAATGGTGGAATTGGTGATCCTCTTACCATCTTGGCTTCTGAGAGACACTGACACGCTGAGAAGCTCTTTTTATACCCAATCATGTTGTCAATTGACCTAATTAGTGTTAATTGGTCTTCCAGCTGTTTGTTATATGCTCAATTTCCTTTTTCCAACCACTTATTGCTACTTGTCCCAACTTTTTTGGGATTTGTTGACACTGAAATTTTGAGTCAACATATTTTTCCTTTAAAATGTTACATTTACTCAGATTAAACTTTTGATCTGTCATCTATGTTATATTACAAATAAAATTTTGACATTTGCCATCTCCACATCATCGCGTTCAGTTTTTATTCACAATTTGTTTAGTGTCCCAACTTTTTTGGAATCCGGTTTGTATATCTGTTCCTATCAAACCCAGCTGGTCAAAGCAGATAGCCGCTTGTCCTAAGCCTGGTTCCGCTAAAGGTTTCTTCCTCATGAGGGAGTTTTTCTTTTTCACTGTTGCCTTCATGCTTGCTCAAGATGAGAGTTCTGCAATGGCGTTAAATTCAAAGCAGTCTGCTCCTCACATAAATAATGTTATTATTCATATATGAATGTTTCTGTTTAGTGCCCTGACATCTGTTGTAACTTTTTTCATTCAACCTTTATTTGTACAGGTTAATCCCATTGAGCCTCAAACTCATTTACAAGAGAGACCTGAACCTGACTAACCTGACTTAGTGTTACATAAGCTGAATTGAATTGAAAAATGCATGAACTAGTTTTTCTGCATCATTTTTCTCATTTTAGCGACATTATGCAGTTGGAAGAAGGCGGTTCTAGTAACAGTTTTAATGTGGGGGTTAAAAGACATGTCCTGATCAAAAATAACACCAAGATTTTTAACATTAGAGCTGAAGGACAGATTAATGCCATCCAAGGAGGGTGAAAGAATCCAAAACGTGTCTTTTTTGTATTCAAAAGCTGAAAATTTAGGGTCATCCAGGTTTTTATTCAATTCACTTTAGTTAATTTATATAGCGCCTAGTCATCTTTAAGATATGCTTGTAGTCTAAGTAACTGATTGGATTCATTGGGTTTCATGGACAAATATAACTGTATCATCAAATGTATCATCAACATAACAATGAAAATTTATCCTATGCTGTTTAATATTACCTAATGGAAGCATATATTAAGTAAAGAGTATAGGTCCAAGCATTGAACCCTGAGGAACTCCATGACTAACTTTGGTGTATGAAGATTCATTATTTACATTTACAAATTGGAATCAGATAAATATGATTTAAACCAATTTAGAACTGTTCCTGTAATTTCAATATCATATCAAGTCTCTGTAATAAAATATTGTAGTCATTTGTATCAAATGCAGCACTGAGGTTTAACCAGAATATCATTAGTAACAGTCACCAGTGCAGTTTCTGTGCTGTGGTGAGCTCTAAACCCAGACTGTTTTACATTTTGATACATAAATAATATACTGATTTTATGTTGTGTTAGCTGGTATAATGGTATGCTGAAGTAGATTTCAAATAGCACTGTCCAAAAATGTGTGTGGGAAAACGGCTTGAATGCTAAATTGGCCTGCACGTTGTTTTCTGTTCTACTGAACTGAACCTCTTTTGACAAAGACATGAGCAGCTTCTGTGTACAGTGGTAGGGACAAGTTTTATTGGGAATGACAATATACATTAGTGTATTCTTAATTTAACCATGCTTGTTTCCTTTTCTTGTGTGCATGAGGGGCGAGGGGGTGTAGCATCTCAAACAAATATGTAACATGGCAGAAAATGATGACTAAACACGCTCCCTTCTTCCGTGGTGACTCAGTAGTACGTCTCCAGCTCCACCCAACCTAAAAAGCAAACGAGACACATCCAGGGTCAGGAATGAACAACAGAGGGGCTAACTCAGTGGAACTAAAAACGGCTTTCAGAAAAATAAAAAGCCCTTGTGTTGCTGAATAATATCATCCCTCATTGTCTGATAGCAATTCAAAGAATTAACTAATTCAAATCCACTCTAAGGAAGAGGAATTTTAATGACTGTGCCGATGTCCTCCCATAACATTTGTGTTACTGTCCACTACAAGTTTAATCAAATAGTTTTTAATGATGCGATTTAGCCTTCATGCTTCCCTCTAAGCTTCTTCTTTTTTATTTTTTAGAGGATAAATAAAGGTATACATCAGCTGTTTTGAAGTGGGGTTCTGTAGAAAAGTCACAGTGAACTAATATCTTACCTGTCGGTAGATACAGCACTTTGAAATGCCTCAGTTTGGAGAAATAAGAGTTTAATTCTGACCGGACTGTCGGGCTAATGGCTAATCTGAATCTAAACTTGTAAGGAAATACTGGACACCGTATGCAAACTGGGAAGTTGAAGCCAGAGTAGGTGAATCCCCACAGATTTGTTTCATGCACGTTTCAAGTCCCACCGTTTTACGTCAAATATTTCTCCATATGTGGCTGGTCTGAACTCAGTCAAGACCAAAGTGGACTTCTGCCACCTTTAAAACTGGTTTTCGCATATTACATTTCGGAGATCTGTAAACTGCCATTAATTGGAGACATGAAGTTATTTAAGTACACCTTTTTTATTTATGATGGCAGCAGCTAGCTGTAACACTTCCTGTAGAAACTTTGTAATTTTGCTGTAATAGTCATGTAATTTTAATTATTTTCAAATGGGGGGTTGCTCAAAGAGTCATCTGCAACAGGTGAGATATTAACACTTTGTAATATTTCCACAAAAAACTATTCAAAAAGACTGAGTTATTCCTTTAGGTGAAATTAAAAATTAAAAAGAGTGAAGGTTTCAAACTTGAGGAGAATCTGCACAGCTTTACAAAGCCCAGATCTGGTGGTATGTTTAGTCTTATAAAGCAGTGGTTCCCAACCCTGGTCCTTGAGGAACACCATCCTGCATGTTTTAGTTGCTTCTCTGCTCCAACACACCTGATTCAGTGGTTTAATTACTTAAGTTGGGCAGAAGCCTGTTAATCACCCTTTCATTCAAATCAGGTGTTGGAGCAGAGGAACTAAAACATGCAGGATGGTGTTCCTCATGGACCATGGTTGGGAACCCAGATTGTCCTTATCTAATAAACTTTTACATTTTGTCAAACACCCACAGAAGCACATATTTGAGGCTCACACATAGAGAGCATGATCTAATTATCTGCAAGATTTAGTGATTTTTGCCTCAAAATACAACACATTTGTGCTTGGCTGAGGCCTCTGACCACCTCAGTAAGATATATTTTTTCTTTGTCAAAAAAGCAGAAGTTGTTGGAAAACAACTCAGCTGAACTTGTTTTTTTTCCCCCCATGCTAACACATTATTCACCATGGATGGGTGTGCTCACTGATCTGTGTTGTGGGGCTCAGATGCAGCGGATAAAAAAAGAAAACATCACAGCACGCCCTGCGTACAGGTTCTGCTCAGCCTCTGGGGTCAGAATGAGGCAAGGTCGAGGTTAAACTCCTGCTGGGCGCTGCCATCTGACACACTTCACTGACTCGAGTGAGGGGAGAGTAAAAATAGACACCGTATGTACAAAATAACACATTACACCTCCTAACGCCGTACATTCGCTGTCGAAATGTTTCAAAATCAACCCAGCATTATCTAAAATGTAAATAAAAGTGACCAGAAAGGCCAAAATGTTGCTGTTGGGTTTTTAATCCCTCAAAGTACTCTTTGTTTTGTTTTTGCACGGTTAAATTAGCTCAAGCGACAAGATTATTTTTGGTTTCTCTGAAAAGCAAAGACGATTATCTCACTGTGTTAAATGCAAACGATAGGAAAAAAAAATGCTCCAGTGAGCGAAACGACTTACCGCCTGGGTTGCGTCTGAGGATGTACCGTCTGACTTCATCATAAACAAAGATGATGAGGGAGTAAGGGAAGGCGCAGAACCACCAAGATGGCCTGAGGAGGTGGAAAGATGGAGAGGCAGTATTAAAAATGAGTGTGCACTCTTCAGTAGGGTGAGTTCAGCACCAGAACAGAGAGACTTCTGCCATCATGGCAGGTTGAAGTTCCTCTGAAGGCACTTCAAACAGGAGAACATACGGCTTTTGAGAAGCAAACATGATGAAGAAAACCTGGAGAATTATGAGTTGTGGATGCTGTGGATCCTCTCCTACTAATGTGACTTACATTAAAAAAAAAGTCAAATGGGATGTGAACTCTACAACCCTAAATCTAAAATATACTTGTGTAAAATGTAAATAAAAGCATAACATAACGATTCACAAATTTTTATAAACTCTTGTTTTATTCGCAATGGAACATAGTAAACTTATTCAAATGTTAAAACTAAGATTTTTATGAGGTAATTTTGAATTGTAAAGCAACATAATTTCTTAGTTTCAACATTTAATATGGTACAAAAACTTTTGTAAGATTGCTTTTTATTGTTTTTTCATCTGCTTTTAACTGTACCCAGCCCCACATTTTAGCAGACAAATTACAATGTTTGTATAGTGTCGACTCTGGCCTCATCTGTTGGCTTGTGGACTTTTTAACTGTTCGGTCTCAGCGGGTGAGGGTCAACGGGGTTCTCTCTGACGTCCTTCTGTCCTCTATCGGTTCTCCTCAGGGCTGGGTTCTTTCACCCCTTTTATTCATTTTATAAATTGTCACAGCCAGTTCCCACAGCGTCACATTTTAAAGTTTGCTGATGACTCTGTCGTCTTGTCCCTTCTCAGCAGTGATGACCCAGACCCTGGTCCTGTGGTCGGGGACTTCACTGAATGGTGTGAGTCTTCCTTTTTAAAGTTAAATGTTTCTAAGACAAAGGAGATGGTCACTGATTTCAGAAGAGACTCTTCAGTTGCCACTTCTGTGGTCATTAACAGTGAAACTGTTGACGTGGTGCATCATGATAAATATCAGAGAACTGTTCTTGATGACAAACTGACCTTTGCTGCACGCGTAAGAAGGCCCACCAGAGGATTTTTATCAGAATATCTGTGGTTTTAATGTTGATTCTACTTGTATGAGAATATTTTATTGTCTCTTAAATTTCACCTTCATCTGTTGGTTTGGACTTTTGACATGAAAAACATGAAGAAACTCTCGGGGATTGTCAGGATGTGCAGCAAAACTGCTGGCATAGCCCTAGAGAACCTCACTGACCTACACAAGAAGAAGTCGGTGAACAAGGCCGGGCTTATTCTGGCAGATCCTGATCATCCACTCCATGGTGAGTTCAGGTTGCTTCCATCTGGATGCAGATATCTGCTGCCCAGATGTAGGACGAACAGACTAAAAAACTCATTCATCCCTGTAGCGATCAGGCTTCTCAACGAACAATGATGATTTTTGTTATTTTAATGTCTCAATGTCTTGTCTAGTATGGATGTTTTGTGTGCCTACTGACTATGAAACAAATTGCCCCTCGGGGATAATAAAGACAACTGAACTAGAACCATGTTCCATTGTGAATAACATGGCTTAATAAACTGTGCAAACCAGAGTAATTGTTATAATATAGTATTTAAACCAGTGATTCCCAACCCTAGTCCTTGAGGAACACCATCCTGCATGCTTTAGTTGTTTCTCTGCTCCAACACACCTAATTCAGTGGTTTAATTACTTCCTTAAGTTCGGCAGAAGCCTGTTAATCACTCTTTCATTCAAATCAGGTGTGTTGGAGCGGAGGAACAATTAAAACATGCAGGATGGTGTTCCTCAGGGACCAGGGTTGGGAACCACTGATTTAAACTGTACGACAGATTTTATGGTTAAATGCAGATTTGTCGAGCTTTGACTCAAAATGCAAAATAATTTTGTTACAGAGCAGGAAGGCTTACTTCATTCTGCCAAAACAGGAATATTACTAAAGATTGAAGACAGAAATGAAAAGGGAAAAAAAAGACGTGAAGTAGACAGAAACAGGGACTCGGTGCAAAATGAGAACACAAGATTGGTTAAACATCCTGGAACAGCTGCAGAGAAAGACAAGTGAAGAAAGACAGGACAGATGAGAGGGCAGCGAGGAAGACATAATAATGAGTTATGAGTGTAGCTCTCGAGATAATGAGCTCAGTGTGTCCTTGCTGCTTTCTATTATTTTTATCTATTTTTGTTTGGCGAAGAATTTCATTAGAAGCTCATCTGCTCCGTCCCGTCTTTGAAGTGGAAATTATTTGTTCCCAAAGATAACACGCCTTGTTTAAGTTAATAAGGCAAAGAACAGATGGGATTTAAAATCCACTCATGGAAAACCCATTTCAAAACACTACCTGCACTGATTCACGGACAAAAAAAATCCCTGGAGGCTGAGTACACGTGCCTACGAAAGAGGATTAGGGCCAGAGTGCAAACAATTTTTCTTTTTTCTCAATTCTGAGAGAGAAAAAAAATCTAAATTCTGAGAAAAAAGTCAGAATCCATCTATGCAAGTCTGACTTTTTTCTCAGAATTCAGACGTTTATTTCAGAATTTTGACTTTTTTCCTCAGTATTCTGAATTTAATATCAGAATTGTGATTTACCCCCTCAGAGTTCTGACTTTAATCTCAGAATTCTGATTTTCATTTCATAATTTAATTTCAGATATTTGACGTCAATCTCAGAATTGGGACTTTTTTTTCTCAGAATTCTGACTTTAATCTCAAAATTCTGACTTTAATTTAAGATATTTGACTTTTCTCAGAATTTTGACTTTAATGTCAGATTTTTAAACTTTTTTCTCAGAAATCTGATTTTTTTTCCTCTCAGAATTCTGACTTTAATCTCAGAATTTTAACTTCAATCTCAGAATTGTGATTTTTCCCCCCCCCCTCTGAATTCTGACTTTAATCTCAGATATTTGACTTTAATCTCAGAATTCTGACCTTTTTTTTCTCAGAATTAAGGGGGAAAAAAAATATTGCACATGGTCCTAATCCTCTTCTGTACACGGAAGCCAAAAATAGATTATTTTTTAAATCGGAGCTGAAAGTACATGCTTTACTTACTTGAGAGGGTACATTCTGAGGGCAATATCCATGCCTGGGCAGTAAGACAAGAAGGCAGCAAGAGCAGTCTCTTCAAAGAGCCCAAAGATGAGGATTCGGTTCCTGTTGGAAGGAAAAGCCAGAATAATAAAATAATTTCCACCATTCATGTGAGTTTTAGACTAAGAGCATCTTACGCTGAGAAGGGACCGATTTATAGCCGTTTTAAGCCAATCTTAAAAATAATACATTATGAGATCTCTGAGGATGACTCTCGACTACTGCCACATCAAATATGAGCTAATTTTAACTTTATAAACTGTTTAGAGTTATTGTCATGTTTGTGTTTGCCAAGATTGATGATTATTTTTATCAGGATTGCTAAATTAGCTGTTAACTGCCAAGTCTTATGTATTTTATTTTTTGCACGTACTTCATTCCCTGCTGCACAATGGAGTTCCTCCTGGTCTTGCAGATGATCAGGTCGGCCCACTGCACGATCACGATGCTGGTGAAGAACGCTGTGTGGCAGGTGAACTCTACAATCTTTCTTCGCTCGTATGTCTGATGCAAGCAAGGAGACGAAAACGATCATTCTCTGTCACAAAAATCTGAATCGACCGACTGCAGGAAGAGAGCTGGACTGACCCACTGCTGTCCATAGCTGTCTTCCAGGTCGTTGACGAACTTGTCGTCCCAGAAGACTCTGATTCCAATAAGGTCCATGGGGAGGAAGCCGTTTTCAGCCAAGATCACAAAGTATGTGAAGAAGCCAGCTGTGGCCTGCATCATGCCTAATGAGAGGAAAGTTAAAGTAAAGCTTAACGAAGGCGCATTGTGCTGTCCAAACATGACGAGCCAACTGGCTGAGGAGTTCATGTAATTTCATGACAAGCTGAATTCCAAAACAGTTAAGACAACGAGTAAAATATAAATAAGGAAACACAGTAAACAGGTCAGTTCAGCACCTGAACTTTTCTACTACTACTGCTGATCTAATGGATGCAGCTGAACAAAGTCTTAACAGAAAAATACGACCTCCTTTGAAAAAGACGTCATTTTGATAGGAACACGTTATAAAACCTGTAAAAACCTTTCTGCATTAATGGTGCCTTCCAATGTGCAAGCTGCCCATGCCAGAAGCACTAATGCACCCCCATACCATCAAAGAGCCAGGCTTTTGAATTGTGCGCTGAAAACAGGACAGATGTTCCCTTCCCTCTGTACGGTGGAAAACATGGTACAGTAGTCCCTCGCTACTTCGCGGTTCGACTTTCGTGGACTCGCTCTTCGTGGTTTTTCAACCATTGTCAACTTTAATATTACTCATGTGATTGGGACGGTATGGGATCAAAAGTTAATGAAAAAATTACTTCGGACAGGCGCCGCCATTTTGTAGTTTTCTTTCAATAAACCTATATAACCTATACTGTATCACCAGTCCAAAAGAACTACATTACCCAGAAGCCAACAGTGCTTCTGGCCGCTGCTTTCTGCCGAAATGGAGGGAAAGTTTTGATCCGATCTGATCCTGACTAAAAAGTTTGGCCCTCGTTCATAGTGACTTTGGCTCTCAGTTTATGCAGAGAGCCGATCAGAACTGGACCAGAACTACTTCGTCTCATCAGTCAATCTGAGCGCTGCCTGCTGGCCAAGGAGCCTCTCGAGCGAGGAGGCGTGGCTTGGAGTTCCGGTGTTTTCTCCGGAGCTCACCTGGGCTTTTTTCAGCCAGATTCTTCTGGATTATTTGGACTCTTTCTGGACCATTGTGTGGTTTTGTGCTCTGTTCTCAGAAGGTCCGGCTCTCTCTAAAAGCGTCTGGTGCTCAACGGCTGCAGAGAGCCGATCAGAACTGGACCAAGGCTGATAAGTAGCCATATACGTATATGAGTAACCATACATATACATATGTTGTTAAAATGACATACGTTAAGAGTTTAGAACATTGCAAGAATGTGGGAAGAGTTTATCAAGCCTTAAATTATATATAAATAGTAAAATAAATACAACGTCACTACTTTGTGGTTTTTCACCTATTGTGGGGGGGTGTAAAACAGAACCCCCACAATGATGGAGGGAATACTGTATGTCTGCTTTATTTGACCACAGAACAGTTTTATACTTTGTCTCATTCCTTTCATTTTAAATAAGTTTCGGTCTAGAGAAGACGGCAGAGTTTCTGGTTGATGTTCACATTTGGCTTCTTCTTTGCATGATAGAGCTTCAAGCAGCATTTGTGGACAGCAAGGTGAGCTGTAAACACATCTTATCTTGCTGTATGCAGACAGTGATTTGTGGAAGAGCTCCTGAGTCCATGCAGTGATGTCCAGAACAGAATCAGACCTGTTTATAATGCGGTGGCCCCCGAGGAACACGAGCATCTAGTATTGACTTTGAGCCTCGTCCTTTGGGGTCAGAAATTTCTCCAGATTATTAAAAACTTTAGATAAAAATATGAACTGTAGATGTTGAGATATTCAAAGTCTTCCAAATGTTTTGTAGAGGAACATTATTCTGATATTGCTTTGCTACTTTTAGATGGTTTCTTTAATCAGACTGGTGAACCTCTGACCATCTTTACTTCTGAGAGTCGGCCACTGATTGTTCTTTTCATCTCCAGTCGTCTTACCGACCTGTTGCCAAATAACCAAATTAATTCTGCTGTTGTTTAATCATACCACTTACTTTTAGTCTTTTTTTCCCCTGGCTCAACTTTTGGAGATGTATTGCTGGGGTAAATGTCTATTAATTTTTTTTTAAGAATAAGTCTCGGGTCTCTCTTGTAAATGAGTCCCCGAGGCTCAGTGGGATTAACTTGTATAAATGAAGGTTGAATGAAAAAGGTAATTTCTTATTTTAGACATTTGTTGCGTTTACCATTTTCCCATCTGCATAAAATATGTGTATTCAATTTATATTTACATTTTACACACTGTCCCAACTTTACTGGATTTGAGCTTGTAGATGATAATTTACTAGTTACCAATTTGTCCATAAGCCATACTGATGAGCCTCTCGTTCACCAGTTTGTCAGTTTTGGGGTTTCGGGGCTGTCTCTTCATGATGTCACTCTCAGCTGCTTCATAAGCCAGGGAGATGGCAGGAACCTAGGAGATGTTTAACAGGAACAGTAAGTCAAATCTGACTGGTAGCTCTAGATTTAACCCCATCAAGACATATTTTAGACTCAAACCAACAAAAAGGCTCACCATGTCAGTTCCCAGATCAATGCAGAGAATGGTGACGGTTCCCAGAGGCAGAGGGATGTTGGCGATGATGAAGAGGAGGAAGGGTGAGATCTCTGGGATGTTACTGGTCAGAGTGTAGGCAATGGACTTCTTCAAGTTGTCAAAGATCAGACGGCCTGAAATAGTCATATAGACGTTCATGTATACAGGTGTAAATCCAATTGTAGGAAATGTGCTGTGAGGGTTTTAAGGTTCTTTTTACCTTCTTCCACTCCAGTAACGATGGAGGCGAAGTTGTCATCCAGTAGGATCATGTCGGCGGCCTGCTTGGACACGTCAGACCCAGCGATCCCCATGGCAACGCCAATGTCAGCTTTCTTCAAGGCAGGGGAGTCATTCACACCATCACCTGTCACGGCCACAATGGCTCCCTGCAGAAAATGGAAAAATACGGTCAGGATATGCGCCCCCACAAAAAACAAGTCTGTACCCCTCTGCCTGCTGATGTTCACCTGTCTCTGACAACCCTCCACAATAATCAACTTCTGCTGAGGGGACGTTCTGGCGAATACGATTTCAGTGTGGTGCTGCAGGATGTCGTCGAGCTGCTCTGCGGTCATCTCTTTGAGCTCACCGCCATGGACGACGCACGCCTTGGCATCCCTGTTGGGGAAATAACAGCAGCATTAGCACAACATCTGGAATCTTGCTGGAGGAAGGAGTACAGTAGTCCCTCGTCACTTTGCGGTTTGTTTTTCGCGGACTCGCTCTATCGTGGTTTTTCAAAGTAAGATCGGACATGACACGCAATTGGCTGATTGATGGATGAGCCGCACGATCGGCATGTGATTTTTATTTAAAATAAATTATTTTAAATATGTATATAAAGTATATATGCGTGTGTGTGTGTGTGTTTGTATGTGTGTGTGTGTAAAGATAGATAGGTAGAGATACGCAGAGATGGATAGAGATATATATACAGATAGAGATACGTATAAATATATAGAGATAGATAGAGATACGTACAGATAGATATAGATGCGTATATATATAGATGCGTAGATATATAGATGTAGATAGATGTAGATGTAGATATAGATGCGCAGATGTAGCTAGATATAGATGCACAGATGTAGCTAGATATAGATGCGCAGATGTAGCTAGATATAGATGCACAGATGTAGCTAGATATAGATGCACAGATGTAGCTAGATATAGATGAACAGTTATAGATAGATGTGCAGATGTAGATAGATATAGACGAACAGTTATAGATATAGATGCACAGATGTAGCTAGATATAGACGAACAGTTATAGATATAGATGTGCAGATGTAGCTAGATATAGACGAACAGTTATAGATATAGATGTGCAGATGTAGATAGATATAGACGAACAGTTATAGATATAGATGTGCAGATGTGGATAGATATAGAAAGAGATAGATACGTAGATATATACATACATATACATACATACATATATATATATATATATAGATAGATAGATAGATAGATAGATAGATAGATAGATAGATAGATA